TGTTATGACTATGTCATCAGCAAAGCCAATTATCTCGAAGCCCTTTGCTTCTAAGTTTTTGAGAAGTTCGTCAACAATTAAAGACCATAAAAGAGGTGAAAGCACACCTCCTTGAGGACACCCTTTTACAGCTCTAACTGTTATGGATGAGCTTCCAAGATTTGCTGAGATTTCTCTTTTAGAAAGCATCTCATTAATCCACTTAACGATGCTTTTGTCGAATCCATGCTTCAACATATTGTTTTTCATGGAGTTATAAGATGCATTATCAAATGCTCCTTTAATATCAATGAATGCTGCTAGTGACATTTCTTTTGATTCAAAAGATTTTTCTAGTTGTGCAACAAGCGTGTGAAGAGCTGTTACTGTTGATTTACCAGCTTGATATGCAAACTGATATTTACTCAAAGGAATTGTAATCAAGTACGTTAATTTATATGCTGATCTATTATTTTCTCCATTATTTTTAGCATAATGGATGATAAACTGATCGGCCTGAAGGATTTAGAAGAAGTTTTATCCTTTTTATTAGCCTTCGGAATAAATATAACCTTTACTTGACGCCAAGTTATCGGAATATAACTTAATCTTAAGCTTGCTCTAAACAAGCCTGTTAGAATGGGTGTCAAAGTTTCTTTTCCTTTCTGAAGTAGTACTGGAAAAATTCCGTCCCTACCAGGTACTTAATAAAACATGGGTTATAATTGAATAGGTAGATTAGAGATTTCAATTATTTATTAAATTATGCTAATAAGATATAATAATCATCAAACGAACTTGAATAAGAAAATTTAGACTAATAACATTAAGTAAATTAAAAAAAGGGTAAGGTTCCCGGGGTCCGCTTAGGAAGGCAACTACCCTTTAAAGCAACTGCCAACTAGCCTTTTCATATGTTGTCTGTTTATTTTGATGGTTTTTTTTTTTTTTTTTTCCTCTGTTCGGGACATAAAACCACTGCGACCAGTAATTTGATCTATTGTAGTATATCCCGTGTCCTTAGTTTAGTGCATGTCGTATTACTCCATCACTATTGAGAAATGATGAAGTATTCGGTTTTGATACAGTTGTCATTCTTGCCTTTATCGCAAGGAATCGATTCTAATTGAAAGGTCCCGCTATTTATACCCTTCGGAGTGTTGAAACACCCTCCAAAGGCGCGCCCCTTTGTCAGTCAAAATTGGATTCCTTAGCAAAAAAAAACAAGACATGACACCGATAATGACCATGCATCAGAACCCTAGTCTTAACCACTTCAAACTAGGAAACAACGAATAGAAGATTAGGAATCACATAGGTGAAGACTAACTAACTCATTTTTTCTTTGTTTCAAGATCATCCTCGGTCCACGAAACCCGAGGACTTATCACTATCAACAAGGCATAAAAAGTAACAAGGACTAAGATGTGTTCCTTTGATTACTGTAAAATCCTGTTCCCCTAGTTCGAAGTAGTCAAGACTAGGAATCGGTGGTAGATCTTACATCCCGTAACGTACCACAAAAAGGTGATCTACCCACGTTACGGGGCATTTTGATGGTTGCTTTAAAATATCAATTTGGTATATATGTGAAAGGATGAATCAGTGGGAGATGGATTTTCGGTTTCTTTACATTTTGCAGCACAAATCTAGTACTATGTGTCATTTCCTCAAAACTCCCCAATAACCGACCTCTTCAATCCCTTCCTTTTCCCATGGCGTTCAAGTGGTCCGCATAGACTATTCAGCCATTACCCTTTCTTTATCCTCGGCTTTGGATTGACTTGCGCTCCCATTGCCGCACTAAACGCTGCAAAATGAAAATGAAAATAAAAAAAAAACCAAAGCCCATTGTTAAATATTAAAATTATATATGCTGTCTACCTGTTTGAGTAAACTAATCTTATGGAATATTTTCTGTTTCTACTTAAACAATATATACCCACACAGACAACAAATGCTTTATAATATGCACACTTAGAAATTATCGCCGACTTTGGTAATTTTTACCGAAATCTGAACAGCTGAACTTTTCGGTAAAATTTATGCAATTCAATTCAATTGCTTTTCAGCTACTTTGAAATTAAAGCCCCACTAAAATGACAAGATTTGATCATTTAAACAAGGTTGAACATGTTTTGATATTATTTTCAAACTCAATAGCCTTTAAAATGAAGGTCAAAGTTTTACCGAACATTCAGCTGTTCTGATTTCGGAAAAAAAAATTACCGAATACGGAAACAAAATCTTAGTGTGTGATGTTTTATATTATTTTATTTATTTATTTTTTCAGTATTTAGTTGTGTAAGCTCCGCGTCTTGCGCTTTTTAGGTTTTATAAATGTATTAAATGATGTATATTAAAGTATTATTGATTCTTTACGTAAGTCATTAAAAAGTATTTTCAACTTCTTTATGACAAGCCGTGTTGCTTGCGAGTCTTGAGTCAAAATGGTCTCGTGATCAGTGGAAAAATCATGATCTCCAATGCTGAAAACATGTTGAAAGTTTCATTCAGATCGGAAAGAATCGAGAGATTACGTAAAAAATGGGAAAAACGGGAAATTGCTCACCATGGGCTTAACGGGATTTTGATATGTTCGCTGAATGGAGGCTGCAATCTTGGATCCTAAATAATACATAAATTTTCAACTTCTTCTGTTCGTTCATGTTTCAGATACGTATTCGCTTTGTTCACCATCTTGAATTCAGGTCCTTTTTTTCTTTATTATAGAGATTTTAAGCCATATGGCTAGTTCATCTCTTTTATTGAATAATTCAGGTCCGCAATGTTGGACTAGAATCCATCTTAATTATAGATCTGAATAGATCTTGGATTTCCGAATGTCCCTGATTCCAGAAATTACCATAGCTGTGGCAAAACATTCCTGTGCTTTGGTTATGGCGTTCAACGTTCCACTTTACTCTTCAAAGTACAAAATGAGGAAAGAATTCGGAATTTACTTTTTCTTTCCTCTGCTGTATTGCTGTTCTTTCAGTCGACGTACTGTTAAAGGATATAGATCAGTTCCACACCAACTGATGAATCGATTTTATTTATCCCTCTCCAAATTCCATGGAACTTCGCATGAAAAAAATACACACTGAAAAAAAAATTCGTCGAAAATGAAAAAAAAAAACTGTATTTCAATAACAAAAAACAAAACTCTTTTTTAAGATTTTAATTTCATGAAAGCTTACCAAAAATGTTAACTTGTCTTAAATGGACACAATGGACACTTCAAAGTTGACCAAAATCGTAAAACATCATCTTTTTTTTTCCTAGATTTGTTTTCCGTCGATCTTGTTTTCCGTGCTGAGCACCAATGCTACCGACGCCAGGAAGGCAGCTCCCACACCTGGACCCTTCCTATCGACCCATCAACTCATGAACCGGGACCAACGACTTTACTTCCCTTCCGAACCGAAGGAAGGCGTGATCAGCGATGTTATGCCTCAGAACATCCCGGCGACGCCGACTGGGATTGAACCCAGGCCTGCTGGGGTGAGAGGTAATCACGCTTACCACTACACCACCGGCACCGCTTAAAACATCATCTATTAGTACACATTTTGAACTGCAACCCATTTAGAAGATTGTAGTTGTCATAAAAAACTGAATTGTTTACAAGCTTGTATGCAACATTGCTGATTTATGCTTATATCAAATATCTTGTAAATTTACGTTAAATCTAGCGTTAACTACGAGTGCGCTAGAACACCGGCAGAAAAACAAAAAAAAAACAAACAAGAAAGGGGTCGTTTTTTTTACTATCCCAATATTTATGGTTACCTAAGTTCAAAATGTATCAATATATGAGAATAGATCTCGTAAGCCTAGCGGACATTTTCAACTTTAGTTAGCATTTTATGATTACGGTATGAGGTGTTTGCAACGTGAGACATCAATTTCGTTAAGAACTCATTGTTTGTTGCTTGAAACCTGAGCGCATTTAAACACGATATATACCAATCAATCAATCCAAGGTTTTTTCAACCTATCTTCTTCTTATTCTTCTACGCTTTTTACGCTTCTATAGTGAGTTTTTTGCTGGCTCTCAATTTAGTGTTCTAGGTACACTTCCACAGTTAATAATTGAATACTTTCTTTACCAACCTATGCATAAATTAGTATATTATGTGGCAAGCACAATGATACTCTATGCCCAGGGAGTCGTGAAAACATCCAACTCGAAATTGTTCTAGACCGAACCGGAGACCGAGCCCGCCACCACCGGCTTGGTAACACAGTGCCATTACTGACTAGGCTATCTGAGCTCTAGTGAGCTTTTTAATCTGTCGCTAGCTTTAATATCAACAAACATTAAAGCACAAGTCCAATAATTATATTTTCTATATTCCATCAATCACTGTCTATGAATATGTAAGACTAGACCATTCTAGATTAGACTAGGCACTTCTAAGGTGGTTAACATCTGTAGCAAATAACAACCTATAAGTGTTTCCTCTGAAAAAAAATATATATTAAACATCCCCTTGTAATAATGATGCATCTCCTATTGTGGAATAGATAAATTTAAATCTCAATGCAAATTTGCCTCAATATTCCGTTCAAACCAGTTTCGCCATTAAGCTGAATATTTCTCCGAATGCCTTATAACAGCAAATGCTTCAAACTAAATGTAATGGTACGGCAACCCGGTCGTCTATGTTATTAGCAATTGACCATTACCGCCACCAACCGCGCGATTGCTGACTGAGAACCAGCAGTGTAGTGTTTGTAGTAAATCTGCCAAAATAGCAATAAATTTCCCCATCGAATCCGGTTCCAATATGTTTTCGAGCGGCGTAAACGTTTTCCACTTTTTTTTACCTTTACGGCCCTTCCGCTCCACATTAGAAGTAAGGGAGAAAAAAAAATACCAAACCAACTCAGTGGATTTTTAGAGTTTAATTTTTAAGGGTTCTATTTTTACATCGTAGGTACACCCCGAAAATGTTGCGTGGAATGCTGCTCGTAGAAGTGCCTATATAGTATTCAGATGGGTTAGATGCACTTACCTCATCGGTTGGTTTCTGGCCAGCTTTCTTCCGGAGGTCGCTAACGTTCAGCACATTTCCGGTGCTGACAGTCACACTGGCATTCTCCTTCAATAGATGCGATAGCATTTTCGGTTCGTTTCGCAATGAATCTAGATGTGCGTTTTCAGCAGTAGGTAGCTGCTAGATGTTTTGCGATGATGGATTGTCTGATACCGATAGACGTACGACTAAACTCCGAAAGGAGGAGCTCGATTTGCAGCCTCGACGCCACTGAATGACGACAGCGATTTCACTTCTCACAGCCTTATTTCGATTGTTGTAACCTTGGCAGATAAGGTTGTCTCATTCACAAATCGAACGAAACGTACGCAACCGTCAGGGAGATGTTTCACTAATAAGAACACTTTAGCACTATGTTAGCACAAAAAATTATCACTTTTCGGCTTCGACTGTCTAGCTTCCAGGCTTTGCTATACTCCGGCAAACTGACTTTCCAGTATCGAATGCAATTGCTAGCGCTTTTAAGGTACACAGCAGAAGAAAAGCAATGGGTATATCTATTTATATAATGCCTGCAATGTGGAATGATCGAACAAAACAAACCGGTTCACTGAGCAGCGTCTTAAATACTAATTCCGAGGACTGCGAATACACTACTGACTGACTATTGGCATGAAGTAGCACACAAAGTTCTACGCTCTCCAAAGAGAATGTTTCATGCTCTCGAGGAATACTTTTTATCAGCTATAGTAAACACACCCAAACATACTATACAGTCTGAAGTGTACGGTTTTCAAGTGCAGTAATATTTACACACAACACGACACACGGAGACTTGAGAGACGTGCTCATTATAAAAATCCTGAGATATCATTTGACTAATACAAGACAAGAGTTCTTGAGCACACACACGAAAGCAAATTAATATGTTCCTATAGGATTGATAAGAAGCACCGAGGGGTCATTCGTTTCTTCACAATGACTATATAGTAAAACATCAGACAGTATACAGCTACGATATACCATTCAGGCAATTTATATTAAATTCAAATTTAACAACCACGTGCTCTCCACCCTTACACCAATGTAGAAAGGTCCCCAAGGTTCTCGAAATATATTGCGTGGCGGCGGCGATGAGATTTGTTTTAATTCATAAAATAGGCGACATCGCAGTATGAGTGATGCCTCGGTTTTGTATACATATTACCAAGCCTACTACCGACAAACGAAACAGTGTAGTAATGTTGTTCATGAATGAGTTTGACACACGCTGCTGTGGCCTGCAGTAAAGACGCATGGCTGAACTGTTGTGTGCAAGTATAAAAAGTTACATGCAACAAAACAACATGCATATCCCACATAATTTCAACAGTTCAGATAATATTAGGCTTCAGAGTATTTGTAATGTGACATAAGATAGTTTCCTAAGAGCCTGTGCAAAAACCGCATTAAATTTTGATTTTTCCGCTGAGATATATCCAAAACTAAAACAGAGGATTAAGTGTGTCCACTCTCCCCTCCTACACAAGTAGAAATAAATATAAAGGCACCTTAAAAGCATGGCTCCTCCAAACTTTAAGAATCAGATTAATTATAAGTCATGTGTGTTTGGGAGTCACATTATCGTGTTACAATATAAACCTAAGAATGAACCGATTGCATAATATACATAGGAGAAATGAATGAAAATGTGATTTTTTCCTACGGAAATGAATATAACGACGGCCATACAAAAATGTATGGGAAATTGGTAATTTTCTATGCATGATTTAGCATGCCATCAGTTATTGCGGCTTCAAATTAATCAAAGAGTTAGTTCCAATCATAGATGCCAGATTAACAGACTTTTATTTTTTTTCACAGACATTTTTTTCGTTACAGACATTTACAGACTTTTTAGTTTTTTTTACAGATATTTACAGACCTTTGTAATCAAGGGAAAATTTTAAAATTTATTTGGTTACACTGTTACACGTGCGATGCATTTTGCAACACGCATTAGAAATCGTGTTTTCAAATCCACCACACGAGCTGTCACTGTTATAGACGGTCATAGTTATAGACCTGTCAATGTGCTGCCAGGTTGTATCAAAAACGAACATTTTCCATACGATTTGACGATTTGTTTGAATACGTCAACTCACGTTGGCCGGTCTATAACTTGACTGTCTATAGTCACTGTCACTGAAAAAGTGAATGAACAGTGGACAGTGTGTTTCCATCCTATTCCAGTGTGTTTCCATCCAGTGACAGCTCATACAAGATACTTTCAAATTCGTGCCCAATACGCCATATTTAAAATACGTTAAACACTACCGACATCTACTCATCCGATCGCGTCATACCAGGAGCAAGGACACGAATCCACGTATAATTAATATTGCCTTGGTTTGCGTCTCACCACATTTGACAGATCTGATCGCCCGTTTGAAAGTTCCAATCGCTCGTTTGACAATTCGAATTGTGGACAAACGAAATGCTCCTGTGGCATGTCGGTTCGTCGGTGGTTTTAGTGCTGAACGAAGCAGCCATTTTCGCCGTTTTGTACCTGAATAAGAATCGTAAAAATGTGGAAAAAATCGAGAAAAATCAAAATGAACCCGAGAGGAACCCCATAACGAAATTTTTCAAAGGATCAGGTAAGCTATAAGTTAAGGAAAATCAATATAAATACTTGCACTAATCATTATGTTGAGTTCCATGTGATTTGAGGTTATCGCATTGTGATCATTGGGTCTGAATATGTCGATCATTGATCTGATAGTAAAATTATAATGTGAATTGAGGTATCGCATGATGAGTTTTTGATATAACAATCTTTTACGAATTCCCCAGTGGAATCTGGAATTCACATTTTTGTTCATATCTTCGGAACCATAGTTCCGATCGGGAAAAAAATCAATAGTGATCTATGGTAATATCACAGACAAACAGACGTAACTCTTTGAAAAACTTGTTCTTGAAAACTTAGTATCTCAAAACATATAACCTCAGTAGCGACATCTATCTGGCTTCTCACGGAAAACAAGGTTCTTCGCTAACTCGTAAACAATATTGCATAAAAGTTCTATATAATATATAGAAACGTCAAAGTGATCCGATTCCAGCGCTGCGGCGAGTAGTTCGCGGAACTGATAATATTCAAATCAACCGTTAAATGCATGAACGAAGATACACAATGAAGAGTTACGTCTGTTTGTCTGTGGTAATATGAAACACATCGTTCCACTAAAATTGGTCCAGCCATCTCTGCGAAAATTGAGTGAGTTACACTTATACGAATTTACATACATACATGCATACATACATGCATACATACATGAATATATACAAACATACAGAAACGTTTTACGATCCCATTGAGATGAGTCTATTGGTATATTCCATTTGTCTCTTCGGGTCTTGGAACGAAATTGTGTTTTTCAAGTGATATCATAGCCTTTCGGTACACCTTGTTGTACGAGAAAGGTAAAAAGGTTCGTATCAGTAAATTGTGTTATATTTAGCCAAGTTTTTCTCCCCCAAGTGTGTAATTTTTTTTTACAAAATGTAATGAATATGTTGCTTGATATATCTAATTTTAAAAATTTATTTGTAACATCGTCACAACAGTATTAGTGTTTAGCGCCAATTCATCGTACTTGGCTTCGTTTTACAGTACACACTTAGAAAAAATCATGTCATCATGTCAATAATTTTAATAAAAATAAAAATAAATTTTAATATTACATCCAAGAGCATGCACTACAATCATGTCGAAAATCTCATGTAATTTTTATGGCCACAAAAAAAAAACAAATGCAGTAAAAGCAGCGTAATGTCAGTTCATGCACTGTATTAATAATAATTTTGTCCTTTTTGGCAAGTAATATTACACCATCTTTTTTTTTTGACTCGGTTAAAGTGCATCCACTTTGCTGTGATCTCATAATTAATTTTTTGCTGTGTATTTAGTTACGTCTGATCCTTTATGTCAAAGATGGATTCCGTTCCGTGTAAATTAGTTATTTCTGAGTGTGTCCTCTCCATTTCTCGATGATCTTTATTTCGATATTCCTTGCTATCTGAATCGTTTCAGCAACCCTGATCCTGATTCATCAACACTTTTTGAGCACGAAATGTTTAGAATCGTATTATGAGCTTATATAAATTGCTCTTTTGATTGTTAATTTCTCCAAATTTAGGTGGTGAAAAATTGAATCTCTCACTAAGAGGTGATCGCCCCGTAACGTGGGTAGATCACCTTTTCGTGGTACGTTACGGGATGTAAGATCTACCACCGATTCCTAGTCCTGACTTCTTCAAACTAGGGGAACAGTTTTTTTTTTTCAATTATCAAAGGAACACATCTTAGTCCTTATTACTTTTTATGCCTTGTTGATAGTGATAAGTCCTCGGGTTGCCTGGACCGAGGATGATCTTGAAACAAGGAAAAAATGAGTTAGTTAGTATTCACCTATGTATGTGTTCCTAATCTTCTATTCGTTGTTCCCTAGTTTGAAGTGGTTAAGACTAGGGTTCTGATGCATGGTCATTATCGGTTTCATAGCTTGTTTTTGTTGTTAAGGAATCCAATTTTGACTGACAAAGGGGCGCGCCTTTGTAGGGTGTTTCAACACTCCGAAGGGTATAAATAGCTGAACCTTTCAGTTAGAATCGATTCCGTGCGATGAAGGCAAGAATGACAATTGTATCAAAACCGAATACTTCATCATTTCTCAATAGTGATGGAGTAAAACGACATGCACTAAACTAAGGACACGGGATATACTACAATAGATCAAATTACTGGTCGCAGTGGTGTTATGTCCCGAACAGAGGAAAAAAAAGAGGTGCTCGTTCCCCCACTGCTGGCCTGCAAAAGGACCAGTACTAGTACCTAACGGATTTACACACTACATGGTTCCTAAGATCAGGCATGGAAAATCATTTGCATTCATTACGTGCATTCATTTACATTCATTTGCCTCTAACTTTTTTCTTCAACAGCATTCCGCAAAATGATGTATAGAGCTTTTGTAGGTTTTGTTATTAGCGCTACAACTTTTGCTGTATCTCTTATGCATCACGAACTAGAGCGGGCAGAACTTGTTACTGTTTTTCAGTGAATGTACTGTTCGCTCTGGTTTGTCATGCATAAGAGATACGGATTTGACTTGTCAACAAAAGTTGTAGCTAATAACAAAACCTACAAAAGCTCTATACATCATTTTGCGAAATGCTGTTGAAGAAAAAAGAAAGAGGCAAATGAATGTAAATGAATGCACGAAATTAATGCACGAAATGAATGCAAATGATTTTCCATGCCTGCCTAAGATCGACTTTAATTTAAGCTTAAATTACTCAAACTCTAGAAAACGTAGTTCACTTGTAGACTGAGTTAAATTTAAAGCCTCATAAATCTTTTCGAATAAGACAAAATTGGACGGTTAATTTACTCATTCTAGAAGTATACACTCAAAGAATAAATCATATATCCAATGTAAAATATTCATTAGAATTTCACATAACTTTCCTGCGATATCATAATTGAGAATTGCACCACAAAATCACATGAACGTTACGTGTCAAAAGAAATTTAAGTGATTTATCATATAGAACTCATGTCAACACATAAATGTTATGTAGAATTCAGATAGATATCATTGGTTTTGTTAATGGAAAAATATTATGTGCAGTCCCAATGGAAACTAAATAAAACTTTTTTCCGTGCACTAATGGTATATGTACATCGAGATGTTGCTCATATTAGAAAACAAATTCCTGTAAAAGCTCGGAAAGTTTTACTCAGCCTATGAGTTAACTACGTTTTCAAGAATAGTGAGTGAACTAATCTCAACTTTGAGTCAACCTAATTTGTCGTGTGATCGAAATTTATATTTTTATTTATTTGTTTTAAACGTATACTGCTTAAATGGATGCATTCCCAACTCTAATTAGGTTCATTTCGTTAAAAGCAGATGGTTTTTGCTCGAACATGAATTTTACTGATATTTCAAATTTCGCATCTATTTCATGGCAACAAACCCCCCCCCCCACTCCGTCACACATAGGCGTAGCCAGAGGGGGCGGGGGTGGCTACTGTCCCCTCTAAACTCAGCAACACAAAGGCTTTCGGGGAAATGGCGTTCGGTGAAATGGCATTCGGCCAAATTTTCCATAGTAATTTTTTTTCGCCCCTCCCTAGCTCGAAATCTGGCTACGCCCTTGTCACACACAAAATTCTGCTTATTTTATGCAGCCCAATTACAGACATTTTTTGCAGACTTCTGAACACAAAATCTGGCATCTCTGGTTCCAATAATCATTAATCTCGATTTTTGCTAAATTTCAAGCATACCCAATCGATAGAAGTTCTCTAAATTCACAAAAAATCATTGATTGGTCATCGATGATCACATAGGAGATACATACATTTAGGTGTTTCCTGGGCAAGTTTTTGTGATCATCGATGATCAACCAATGATGGTTAATTTCAATTGCTTCATTTTTTCTCATCTTTAATGAGAAAAACTAACGCTTTATACAATAAGACGAGCTTAAATCTGTTATAAGCTTTGTTTACCTATGCTATTACATTACTAAATCACTATTTAACACTGCAAATAATTTTTAAACATCCATACTGCCCTGTGCGGCATTTTTGACGAAAATGAATTATGCATTGGAATCGATTGTCAAGTACCATAACTTCACAATGAACTGGAAACCATTTCTACTTTGGTCACAAAATGTCGCGAAAAATACCAAAACTACCATAATACCCGTCCATAAGAGTCCAAGATGTAGTTGCTGCAGCGTAGGGAACAAACCTGTTTTTTATATAATTTTCAAGCATTTGTTTTAAAGTGTTTGGAGTTTTCTTAGAGAAGATTTACGTGCCCGACCCCAGGCTATAAGATAATTTAGGCACGAATGGAAATGAGCAAAGTAAAACTTTAAAAGAGCACTGCGAGAGACGAAATAGCTGAAATACTCTGCTTAATAATTCTACAAAGCCATGAAACTTTCTTCTCAACATATTTTATGTGGTCATCCCAAGAAAAGTGTTAAGTCCAAGATCAAACCTAAATATTCAAATGATTTAACTTCTTCAATTTCACATGTGTTTCCCAAGGCCAATGGCTAAAAGCCTTGTAAATAAAGGAAAAAAATATCACATGAATTTAATGTTAAGTTGCCATGCTTTTTAACAGACTTTCTAGGAGAATGGAAAAACATACATTTAGTTTTTGTAGCTTTCAGGGAAAGCAGGTTAGCTGAAAAGTATGTCGATAAAGCCTGTAAATCCTGATTCACACCGCCAACTGCAAGCTCTACATCAGTTTGGGTTGATGCATATATTATGTCACGCTTTAAGGGGAGAGGGGGGTCTAAGATTTTGTGACAAGCAATGCATTAATTATAGGAAAAACGTCACGATAGGGGGGAGCGGCTAATTTTTTGCTCGATTAAGCGTGACATAATTAATGCATGGGTCCTTTGCGGATTATTCAGTTATGACCCCATAGATTTTCATTTATAATTTTTGATATTTAAACAACTGAGGCAACTTTTATGTGACTTATTTCAGTGACAATTAAATTGCTGCAACTTTTAGCCACAGTTTTGTGTTGCTTGGTTTATGTCAATCAAACCAGTAACACATTAAAATATCCTGATATTCTGTATTAATAGTAAAACTTGCTATTATTTTGATATTCTCTTCTACTCGGGATAGCTCAAATAATGGCTATAAACATATTGCGCGTTTCACACCAAATTGGGCGTTTTCACTTATTAAAAAATGTGTGTGATAAAACTGCAAGTTTACGTCTAATTGTCTTGGTGTCTTCGGTGCACTTATTCCTTATGATGCAAGCAATAAGTGCTCTGAAGACATCAAAACGATTTGACGGAAACGTGCACTTTTATCACACTTTTTGCATTTTTGGGACAGTCCAGACAATCAGCAATACTATCAGCAATTGATGTTTATGTATAAATTTATTCAAAACTAACTGCAACCTAAGGGAACAGTTGATACTTTTATGAGAACTGTGAAATATGTATTAAGCATACAATCATCGTTACGATAAAGAAAACATGTCAACCTACAATACATGACGGTGATAACGGGGCTAATTTTGTTTTTCTAGCAAAACCGAAAGCAAAACCTACTCAGATACAGGTTCGTCTCACAAGTCCTAATATACAAAGCTGAAACCCCCCAAAATCCGAAACAATGAGATCACGTCGCAGCGATCGGTCTTCGTTCGTTCGGCTGGAAAAATTAGTAAGTAGGTATGCGATTCTTCCCGTAGAATTCCTAAAACAGCACACAAGACCCCCACACAAAAAAAAATCTTTCGTTCGGTACGGTGTTGGCGGCGACAATTGGTTTTTGCAACCGACCACTCCACGCGTTGATAGTATTCGATACAGATACATATAGCAATCACGATATCACTCGATGACCGTGCGGCACATTCCATACGGCTGAACCAGTATCATCTGCATACAGTGGGGGTTTATTGTTTTTATTGCGACCGGAACACTGCACAGTGCATCGATTATCAGTGCTTCGAAGGACGGTTATCCAAAGTAGACATTAGCGTGCGATAAATTATTGCGCTATATCGAATTCGAAGTGCAGCTATCTATCGTAGAACTTGAAGATTGTGTGCAACAGCGGCTATTGTGATTGTGCCAAGTGATAACAATGGCGGCAGCCATGGAAAACATCAGCAATATAAAGTTATATGATTTGATCACCAGGTGGATAGAAGTGCAAAAGATGCGGCCGGATTACAATGATGGAAGTGTAAGTTGGTGACAGTGTAAATTTCTCTAATTGGAAACCATCAATCACTAAATTTGCTATATTAGGACATGTAATGGGAAAACCAACCCATGGTCTAAGAATATGTATTTTGAAAACAAACAAACAACTCATACTGCTTTAACAGAAGTCAATCACAAATTTCACAGAATATTTTTTTAGAATACCTTTTTCGCCCTGTAATCTTATTTTTTTTTCGACTAATTATGTTATCATTAGTACTTGAACTAAGTAAAGTAAGAATAAGCTTCATTTGCATTTCATTTCATTGCACTTTCTTATTGTGCATTTTGCACCAAAGTGGACTAAAAATAGTCTCTCAGAAATTTCTTCCCTCAGGACAGAAAAAATACAAATTAACCTTTTTGTATGTAATTTTACAATAGAATATCGAATATCACATCGATATATGTACTGCAGTGAAAAATATTTAAAATTAATTATTCTTATGTCGTTTTTGTCCTGAGCGAATTCATAATCTGAGGGATTATTTCAGTACAGGAAGTACTTGGTGCAAAATGTACTATAACAAAAATACCCAAAGAATATTCCGATGGGTTTCTGATGAAATCGCGAACCGCTACGACTTCAGCGGCCAGTTTATCCAGTTTATTCCAGCATATGCACATGTCAACAGCATCCTGCATCACCTTGTCAAACCTCTTGAGCTTCCGCTTGATAATCGCCCAATACTGCTAAATCAGGCGAAATTGGGGCAGTTCGAAGACTGATGTCTATCACTGAAGTACCTTCCAGCAGCTTTCGAAATCTGGCCAAAACTTCACAGGTCCTTTGAGGGGCTTTAGTGAAAAGTGGAATGTGTTTTCCCAGACACCTTTGTTAGTGTAGCTTCAAGTCCATCGTTTTGTTCGTTACAAATCCAGGGGTATGAGAGAATTTGACGACGAAAACGAACTTTAACTTGACGGAGAAAATTTGTTTTCTGATGGCCACATTAGATTTTCGATCAATTTGTGCAAAATCAATTTTCTTCTCACGTCTGGCTGGCATAACATTAAAAAAAAATGCACGAATCATAACGAAACTTTCAGCACTGAATGAGGAGAACTTTTCAAACACACTGCTATCAAAACATTCCAGAACACTGACTTCTAGGAGCAGGCATGGAAAATCATTTACATTCATTTCGTGCATTCATATACATTAATTTGCCTCCTACAGGGCTGGTAGTGCTGATGCGATATAATAGTAGTGACTTTAGTGACTAAAATTACGGAAATAGTGACTTGTAAATACTAAATAAGTATCCATTTATATGGAAACTTAGAAATTCAAATACGGTTTAATATGTCATGAAACTTAAAATCAAATTTCATAAATTCCTCTAATTTAATCGAATCTCACAACGGAACCTCCTGTGAAGAGCATTTGAAGTGATTTGAATGATTTACTTTTGCTTACGTTGTACATGATGACTAGCAAATAGTAATTCCCATTTTTATGATCTTGAATTTGATTCTGCGTTAGAAATCTTTAAATTTTTGATATATCTAGGTAGATAACTTTGATAATTTGCTATGAATTTTTCACAGAATTTCTTCAGAATGATCTCAAGAACTTTTTTAAAATAATTCCCCTTCTCTTAAACTTAGAGGCAAATAAGCTTTTACAAACGTAATATTGCATTCTTGAAATTCTTTGCAGAACAATCAACAAAGTTCTTGGAAATAGATTATTTTCGTAGTTGGAAATGCTTAACACCAAATATCAGAATTAATGTGGACATTTTATACGATAGATGAGGATATGAAAGTAAAGAGTTTATAGTTCCGTTATAGTGTGGCAGTGTGAAAATTGTATATAGTAAGAAGAAAGCGAACAAAGGACAATTTTTTTTTTCCTATGTTGGGGACATAATACCACCGCGACCATTACTTTGATCTATTGTGGTGTATCCTCTTTTTATTTATGCCATAACGTAGCGGTAAGCCACTATTGTTTGAGTAACTACCACTACTGTTGTAAGCAATCATCCCAAGCAGGTAATACATTCCTTATGAAATTTATTACCTGATTGGGAGCAGCAGCCCAGATTTCCCAAGGTCTCATCAGACCCTTATCAAGATATCTGCATCGTTTATGAAATAGTGCAACACAGTCACACAGCAAATGTTCAGAGCTTTCACTCTTTAAGTTACAAAAGCGGCATTTATCTTCATGAAGTTTACCAATGATTTTCAGGTGATATTTACATGGACAGTGTCCTGTTATCAAACCAGTGTATGTACTCAAATCTTTTTTTGAAAGATTAAGTAACTTTTGTGTATGAAAAGCGTTCGGCTTTATAAAACGTTTAGATTGCCGAGAATTTAAGGTACTGGTCCAGTTGTACTGTACCTTTGTTTTTTCCCACTTTTTTAGCTCCATTTTTAAAGCACAAAAAGAAAGTCCAAAGAATGGTTCAGGACCGATGAATTTCGTGGATGACCCTATGTTTGCCAATTGATCAGCTTTTTCGTTTCCTTCGATTCCACAATGACCAGGAACCCAATAAAGGTTAACCGTATTTCGACAGGACAGTTGCTGTAATAGTTTAGTACATTCCCACAACAGTTTTGACGTGTAAGTTTTTGATTTCAAAGCATTCAGCGCCGCTTGACTATCTGAACAAATGCATATATTCGCATTTTTATAGTTTCTTTTTATGCAAATCGCTGCACATTCTAAGATGGCATATATTTCAGCTTGAAATACTGTCGGCCAATTTCCCATGGACACCGAAAAGTTAACCCCAGGGCCGGTAATACCAGCCCCGACCATATTATCTTGTTTCGAGCCATCTGTATAAAAGATTAATGATCCAGGACTAATATTCAGTCTTCCTGCATCCCAGTCAACGCGAGTCACACCAGGAACTTGGAAATTATGGTTGAAATAATGTCGCTTTAGCATGCAATCTTCGTTCATCAATATTAATGGACTTATCTTAAACTCTTTTAGAATGCTCAAATGTCCAATAAGATCTCCATCGAAGAAATTCATGGACCGTTTGAGCCTTAGAGCACTTTTCTCTGCATCCAGTTGAATAAATTGATGAAGAGGAAGGATATTGAGTAAAGCATCCAAGGCTGTAGAGGGAGTACTACGCATTGCTCCAGTTATGGAAATAGTAGCAAGCCTTTGTAGCTTGTTTAGTTTGACTTGTGCCGTTTGTTGCTTAGTTTTCGGCCACCATATAAGTGAGGCGTAGGTTTGGTGAGTTCGTTCTAGTTGAAGATTGTTCTTATACATATCTCGATTGCATTTTCGAGGGGACGTCCGGAGAGCCTTGAGATTTAGGCGTTGTTGCTTTTGCGGGCAGACGAGTTGGTCGCCGGTAAGGTCCAGTAAGTGCTGCCAGCAGATGAATCAAGAGGTATTCGAAACAAAATTGGTAAGAAATGTCCATTCAAATCGTTTTATTACAGTTAAACAAATTTCAAAACTATATACATGCCAGATTTGTAAATAATATTTTTTGAATCTGGAAGTGTGTTTATGATACCTTTATCCATTTGATAAAGGTAGAGTGAACATGCGGGGCTTATTATGGTAAAAGTGACCTCGGAGTGGTCGTGAATTACCAGGCATTCTGAAATGGGTCACTGGAGCTGCAATAGAGCTAACACCTTCTAACTCCCGGACTAAACCTGCTTTAATTGAAGGGTAATAAAAAGCAGTTTTCTTCCATAATAACACTGCCGGACAGTGGGGGTTAGATTGTACACACACACACACACACACACACACACACACACACACACACACCATATAAGTGAGGCGTAGGTAATCCTGGGTTTAACTATAGCCGAGTATATCCAGTGTATCATATTTGGCTTCAGACCCCATTTTTTTCCAAACGTTCTTTTGCAGGTCCAAAAAGCATTTGTTGCTTTTCCTATTTGTTGATCAATATGTTTGTTCCAGCAGAGTTTTCTATCTAAAGTTACTCCTAAAAAATTTACTTCTAAAGATAGTGACAGCTTTACGTCTTCTAAGTTAAGATCATTGATAGAGATTTTACGTCTTTTAGTAAAAGGTACAATAGTTGTTTTTGTAGGATTGATATTCAATCCCTCATCTTTGCACCACGATAGTGTGAATTTTAATGCTTTTTGCATTCTTTCGGAAACAACTTTATCGAATTTTCCACGGACTATAATGACAACGTCATCCGCAAACCCAATTATTTCGAATCCTTGGTGCTTTAGTTTTATAAGAAGGTCATCAACAACTAGGGACCACAGAAGGGGAGAAAGAACACCTTCTTGAGGACAGCCTTTTACAGCTGTTACTTTCACTACTGAATCTCCTAGATTAGCTGATATTTCTCTTTTGGATAGCATTTCTACAACCCAGTTGATTATGTTTTTATTAAAACCACGATTTCTCATGGCGCTTATCATCGACGTGAAAGATGCATTATCAAATGCACCTTCAATATCAAGAAACGTTGCTAGTAGAATGTCCTTAGCCGCAAAGGATTTTTCTATTTTATTAATAAGAGTATGAAGAGCTGTTATTGTTGACTTGCCTGACTGGTAAGCAAATTGTGTATTACATAATGGTTTATTAAGAAGTATTTCTGATTTGACATATTCATCTATGAGTTTTTCCATTAATTTCAAAAATATTGATGACAGGCTTATTGGTCTAAATGATTTTGGTGAAGATTTATCTCTTTTGTTCGCCTTTGGTATGAATACCACTCGGGCTTGTCTCCATTTTTTTGGGATGTATCTCAATAAGAAACTAGACTTGAACAATTTAACTAAAACAGGAATTATTATAGATTTAAAATTTTGAATATGTGCTGGAAAAATTCCATCTGGGCCAGGGGATTTGAAAGAACTAAAATAATTTATCGCCCATTCAATTCTTGAGTTTGTAAATATTCTAATGGCAAAGTTTTCAGCCTCTTCATTTGACATTTCTAGCCCACATAGTGAGACATTTGTTTCGGTAGATCTATCACGTTCACC